TGACCTTCATCAAACCATTCCATCACACTAACTCATCCAAGCCTTCCTTAATCTGTTGCTCTCTCTGTGTGTTGAACTGCCAGCTGCAGCATGCTGGCTGAAAAGTTCCCATCTCAACCCATCTGGAGAGCACCTGATGAAAAAGGGTGAATAGTCCAACCCCCTTCCCCCCATACTGCCTCTGACAGCCTAGACACAACTGTAGCATCCCTGACCGATAGCCCTCCAGATAGAATGAGCTCCACTGTCATCCTGTCTTCTGAAGCACTTGTTCCTCTGTCAATTAGGAAGATTCCCCTGAGGTCTCACCAAAATCAGCTTCCCAACAACCTCATTCATTATTTCTCATCCTTTCCTTGAAGCACAAAAAGACACATTGGTTCCATCTACTGCATGTCATCCCTTCACAATGTTGAAGACCATGTTTCTTCTCTCCCCAAGTGTCTCTTCTCCTGGCTTAACAAACTCAAGCCCTTCCACTGTTCCTTGCAGGACTTGATTTCCCCATCTCAGTTACCCTTTTATTCTGAGCATTCTCCAATTTGTCAGAATCCTCCTTATGCAATGGGTGGAAGATTAGATGATATTCATATTGTTACGGTAAGATTGTGATGATGGAAATATTTTAAATAAGCAGCAGCAGATGCAAGTACCCATACAGTAATATATTTGCAGCTTGAAATGGAGAAGGGTAGAAATTTTAGAAATCAGTAAATACATGCCTACTTGCATGGGTGCAGTTGGGGATGGCAAGTAATAGTAAAGTCACTCTGCTGCTCAGGTGTTTTTGTCATTCACTTGGGTGGGCCAGGTAGATCAATCAGCAGGTCTCATGCAGGTGGCTGGACTGGGGGACCTGGTGGCTGGCCTGAATAAATTTGATTTATGACACCAGCTAACTGCTGTCACACTCTGAATTCAGAGGCGTTTGCTTAGTGTTCAAGGCAAATCTTCCCTATGAGAACAGCTTTATGTTGGATTGACATGTTCAGCAGAATAAAGTGGCAGAATCCTGAGATGATTCAATAGACTACCATTTCAGATTTTAAAAGAGTGTTTCTTTAACATGAGTTGCTGTTTTGTTACTTGGGTGTATAACAGCTCAGAATAAAACTACTCCATTCGAAAGGTCTTATTGCTGATTCAGAAACCCCCCACTTAAGGATGCAAAATATGAACCATTTAACAGGATCCTGACATTATTACAGGGGGGAAGAGAGAGAAACACAGAAGCAAGAGTTCTTGCTAAGGGAAGAACAGGCTGCCCACGAGCTCTCAGAGCTGCAGTGTTTCAGGGGAAAAGTCCAACTTCGCTGTAATATCAGAATCGCTGCCGATAAATCAGCCCCGCTCCTGGACACAGCTAACATAATGAGAACAACAGGTGCAGCATTCATTTGAAACAACAAAGAAACCCCATGCACAAATACCCTAAGAAATACAGGAGGCACATATAATGAAAGGTTTATATGCAGGCACAGTGGCATTGAGGCTCCCGCACTGAACCCATTTAGAGATGCTCTAGCGCAGCTTCTGTTACTCCATCCTCGAGAAGCCACGTCAGCCATCCTGTCTGTTGTCATTCTTCTTCACTTTGGGCAAAACGTGCCTGGGAGAAGAAGGCTAAATCTATTTTGAAATCAGTGTCTGTTCTCCAAGGAAATGAAAGAGGGAGAAGGAGAGGAGAAAACTTTGCTTGGAATTTAAAATAAAAATGTTTCCGAATGCAAAGGTAAGGTTTTGAGGGTATACGGGTGTGTGCCATTTGAATGGTATGTGTCAATGAGTCTTGGATCCCACCCAATCTGGGATTTGGCTGCTTGTAAGGGTCCAACAAATTCTAACAGTGCTAACATAGACTTCTGCAGAAAGGAGGTTCTCTCTTTCTTTGAAGCTGGATGCTTTCCCATCACTTCCATGTTCACATGCTTTCAAAGTACAGATGTGGAACAGGATTTGCTAGACGATATGAACTGCAGTACTGCAGAGCCAGTGTGGCCTAGTGGTCAAGGCACCAGGCTAGAAACCGGAAGACTAGTTCTAGTTTGAGTTCTAGTCCCACCTTAGGCATGAAGCCAGCTGGGTGACCTTGGGCCAGTCCTCCTCTCTCAGCCCTAGGAAGCAGGCAAGGGCAAATCACTTCTGAAATCGTGCCAAGAAAACCACAGGGACATGTCCAGGCAGTCACCAGGAGTCAACACTGACTGGAAGGCACCAAAAACAACAATAACATCAAAACCCTGCAGTATAAATGTATCTCTCCTTATCAGGGTTTAGTTTGCTGTGATGTGCAGTTCACATGTGGGGTTAAACAGCAAAAAGAACCCCAAACTATGAAGTTCATGGAATAACCTTCCCATATTGTCGTGCCCTTGAAAGAAGCAAGATTTCAACGCCCATAGTTTCTACCCAGCATCTGCAATAAAGTTTGGGGAAAGTCTGAGATGAGCTCTTTTGCCTTGTGCCCCTCCATCCCTTTGCTTGGTTACCCTCTAGGTACGACCCCCAACCCACCACGAACTCTCCCACCCGAGTTCCACCCGCCTGGCTTCGACTCTGCCAGCTTCATTGGCGGGATCGTCCTGGTGCTCAGCGTCCAAGCCGTTGCCTTCTTTGTTGTGAAGTTCCTCCGATCGAAGGACAACACCTATCAGACGCTGTAAGTTCCCTACGGACCGCTGGGGGTAGCAAGATGGGGCAGAAAGGAACCGCTAGGCTTTTCAGCTGACCAGGTTTCAAAATGTGGGATGTCAGCCTTTCTTGGGAGAAGCAACCATTGTGGGCCTGAGATGAACAGTGTCAAAATGGCTGCATAGGCCAGTTTTTAACCCACCTGCTGCCTTAGCGTGAGAAGGCGTGAAATGAGGCGGATCAGCTCCTGTTCTCTCAGCACAGAAATAGGGGGAGTTCTCACTTGGCAAACCTCCTCCTTCTCCCACCCCTTATCCCCACAAGCAATTTCTTTTTTTTTCCTGCTGCAGCCAGCATTTCCCCATTCACACATAGTGGTTCTGTGTGCCGTTGGGGCCTCAAAAGCTCTGGTCGTGTTCACACCACAGAGAGGCTGTGCCTGCCTGCTCACAGAACTGGCTTTTTGACGTTTCACACCACCTCCACAAGACAGCTCCTGACCTCTCACCCCGCTTGCTGGCCTGTCTTTTTTGCTTCCCTTCTGTATTTTCCTTCTTCCTTTTCAGCTCAGAGTTTTGCCTACTTTCTCTGCTCCCTTCATTCTGCGCTTCCCCTCCATTTTCTCCCCTTCTTTTGGCCCTCCTCTGCAGCGCGTGGCTTGCGTTAAGATGAAGCATAGGAACTGGGAAAAATGTCAAGGCTTTTAAGCATGGTTTTGTTTGTTTGAACTACATTCATTGTACTGTGGCTCTTCTGTGGCTTAGAACAGGGGTGGACCGTTTGCGGACAGCATGTGGGTCCTTGGTGCTCTGTTTCTGCTCCCCTGCCTGAAGTTTGCACTGAAGAAATGCAGGGAGAAATTTCAGTGGCACAATATCTCCCCTTTAAGGGTGAGATGGGAGTGATATACTTGTAGGAAGCCTCCCAGCCCATCCTCACCTTTAAAACCCACTCAAAAAAACCCTCCCCTTCCAGTGACATCACAGTGTCGGCTCCCTACAGTTTTCAGAAGATCAGGTTCCAGAAGTTGGTCTGGAATTTTAACCATTGCAGTCCAATTCTCAGGAACAGCACCAGACTGAGAAGACTGGTCTGAAAAAAATACCGTTGCTTACTTACATGCAATTGAATGTAATGGTGTCCTTTGTTTTTTAACCCTGAGCTAAAGGTTGAGCCAACCAGGAATTTGGCTTAGGGAAGGAATTTGCAGCAAGATAAGGAAATGTAATCATTTCCCCAAAACCGTGGCTCCTGATTTCTTTTGCTTTTAAAGTTCCATGAGATTTGCTGCTCTTCCTTTCCAGCCTCCTTAAGCAGATGATTTTGCTGCAGAGGCAGCCCAGCAAAACCATTCTGTGAATTTAGATCCTGGACACAGAAATCATGCATAACTAACTGGCACAATCATGGCCATATGTAAACCTTCTCCGGTTTCTAAATGAGGTCCATGGTACGTTTGTGCTGAATGGAATGTTGAATCATTGCAGGCTCACCTCAGAAGGAGCTTGTCTGAGATTCCAGCAAGGAGGAAGCTAGCTGGTGTCATAGTATCAGTGATGTCTTTCTATCAGGAACATCCCAGCCTGTCCTAGTATACTCTTTGCAATAAATAAGTTAACCCAGCAATAAGGGACCTGTTCCTCTCCAGAGTTGGTGATGGAACTCTGTTGGATCAATCCTGGGCAGTGTGGGCAGGAATTATAGATGCTGAAGTCCAGTCATCTCTGGAGCATCAGAGATATCCTCAACTATGGCTTAAGATCAATCACGTTCCAAGAGGAAGAGTGGTTGTCTTGTTGTTCAAACCCTACACAAGGCAAATATTTCACAGGTTGAGCATTTCCCCTTAAAATATAAAAATGAAGAGGAGGACCATTCTAATGGACTTCCTTAACATGTCTCCAGTTGGGAGTTCTTGAAACCTTTCCCTCCTTTCACAGAGAAGGGCAATGGTAGCCATTCTCCTGTCTGTCTCCTTTTACCCTCTGGAGTTTTAACTTACTCATTTCAAAATAATTTGATCTGCTATTCCAGTGCCTTCTCCTAACTCCTTAACGTTGATTCTGAAATTCAGTTTACAAAAATCTACTTTGCCCCTTTTAAATTCCTTTCTTCTGCTGTTCCTGCTAACCTCTATGATAATTGTAGCTATGGAGAATTTCCCCTTTGTTTATCACATTGAGATCAACCTATGCTCCCATTTGCTTAAAAAATAAGTATAGAGAGTAGGATTAAAGGGGTATAGGTTTTGTTTTTTGAATTATATCTAACATGTCCTTGATTCCATTTTCTCCCACTTTTTTTTTCTTCCTTGCATGCTGCCTATAAGGGAGGAGAACCAGCAGTAGGTGTAGAAGAGTGTGTGTGTTTGTGTGTGAAAAAAAAAAACACTAGGAAAGTTAAGGGCTGCTTCCAGAATAAGGAAAACCTATAACTCTTTTCATAGTTTAGTCCACTATTTATGCTTACCCTTCAGAATCAGAAAGACTGTAGGGCAGTTTGAACACATTGAATATCCAGTGATGGTGCATTTCCTAGACAGGGGACAGACTTGTATATTTAAGTGTTCACATAGAAAAATACCATGTCTTAGGAGAGAAAATAGCCTGAATTCCTCAACCTGTTTGCAGAGATATATGATAGTGCAGATAACAAAATATTCTTTCATTCTCCTGGAGGAATTTATCTTTGGAGACTCTCTTTAACTTGTTCTCTCTTACTCTGCTGTCTAGCTCTGAGTGAAGAAGTATATGGACAATTTTCAATCCAACACAGTTCACCTTTTGATCAATTGTGTGTACGTGTGTAAAAACACATAATCAGCATCCTGTTGTCTTTAGAAATTATGGGTCTTCCTTGCCCAAAATCAAGAGTATAGGGTGAAAAGAACTATTCAGAGGTGATCAGAATCAGCCTCTGTATCCTGTTCAACCTGAATGTAGGGTTCACAACTTGACAAGTCTGCTAGGAAGCTGGCTTTTTTTGCTACCAAAAATGATGGGAAAGAGGTGAATTGATCACTGAGTGGAGAAGCCACTGGCTGCTGCCCCCCCCCCCCCCCCCCGCG